AGGAGTAGTGTTTTCAAGAAATCGCCTTCACGTATTATATATAAGGATGCTGATGTACCTGTTGAATTCGGGGATTGCCTGAGTTGCATTACAAGTCTTTGGATTTTATTTTGCAGTGTACCATTTTCTCCCTCCATTGATTTTAACGCCTTCTTGACAGTCTGCACGTATCTTTCAACCTGGCCGTTTGAGTTTGGGTGATATGGTGCCGTTGTTCTGTGAACAATCCCACATTCATTCATGAAGTTTTTGAACTCTTGGGAAACAAACTGTCTTCCATTATCTGAAACTAAGATTTGAGGAAACCCAAAAGTTGAAAAGATTTTCCGTAATTCTTGGACTGTCCATGTACTTGTAGTTGTTCTTGTCTGTATCACCTCCTAATGTTGGAACAATTATTGCTAGGTTTGTTCGTACACTCCTTCCAAACATTAGGTGATATGCTGATGTACCTGTTGAATTCGGGGATTGCCTGAGTTGCATTACAAGTCTTTGGATTTTATTTTGCAGTGTACCCTTTTCTCCCTCCATGGATTTTAACGCCTTCTTGACAGTCTGCACATACCTTTCAGCCTGGCCATTTGAGTTTGGATGGTATGGTGCCGTTGTTCTGTGAATAATCCCACATTCATTCATGAAGTTTTTGAACTCTTGAGAAACAAACTGTCTTCCATTATCTGAAACTAGGATGTGAGGAAACCCAAAAGTTGAGAAGATTTTCCGTAATTCTTGGACTGTCCATGTACTTGTAGTTGTTTTCGTCTGTATCACATCCACCCACTTACTAAAGGCATCCACTAATATCAGGTACTGTTGGCCATCTGTTGGTCCTAAGAAATCAATGTGCACCCTCTCCCATGGATTAGAAGGTTGTTCCCATGGATGGATAGTTTTCCTCGGGTTGTTGCATTTTTCAATGCATTGTCGACATTCAGTTACCATATCTTCAATATCCTTGTCTATACTTTTCCACCAGCAAAAACTGCGAGCTAAAGCCTTAATTTTTATTCCTCCTAAATGAGCTACGTGTAGTTCTCGAAGCACATGAGGTCTGAGAGATTGAGGTATCATGACTCTCCAGCCCTTCAGTACACAATCATCTTGAATGGACAGCTCGTTATCGTGAAATCCGTATTGTTCAACAGATTGTCCTGATTTCAAGGCCTGTAGGACTGGACCCAAAACAGCATCGTTGAGAGTTTCCTTAGCCACCACGGTACTGTTGATATTGAGTGTTTCCAGTTGATTTATGTGGTACTTCGAGAGGTCATCTACAGAATGTTCTTGTACAACTTCGATAGGGAATCGAGAGAGATAATCTGCATTGCAATGATGAGCAGTTTGCCTGTACTCTATGTCATAGTCGAACCCAGAGAGAAAGTGAGCATAGTTGAATATCCGTGTTGCCGAGATTGTTGGTAAGGTCTTTGCTGGATTAAAATTTGACACCAGCGGTTTGTGATCAGTGATCAAAGTAAATTTGCGGCCATTACAAAACGGGAAAAACTTTTTCAGGCCCCAATATATTCCCAAGGCTTCCTTATCGATTTGAGAGTATTTTTGTTCTGATTTTGATAAAGATCGAGAGGCGAAGGCAATTGGCCTGTCCGTTCCATTCCTATAGCGGTGCGAAAGAACGGCTCCTACACCTACCGGCGAAGCATCAGTAGCTAAGACCAGTGGCAAGCTAGGATCAAAGTGTACCAACACGTCATCACTTGTAATAATTTCTTTAATCTTCAGAAAACTCTGTTCACAAGCAGAGCTCCATGTAAAAGTGTTTCCTTTTCGTAGCAGCCGATTCAAAGGATGTAGCAGTGTAGCCAAATTCTTTATGAATTTTTTGTAATAATTCGCAAGGCCTAGGAAAGTTCGGAGTTCAGTTACGTTCTCTGGTCTTTTACATTTTAAAATGCTCTGTATTTTAGCATCTGACTTGTGTAGTCCTTTGCTATCGATCACATGACCTAAGTACTCAATTTTGTTCTGGAAAAACTTACACTTCTCTCTATTTAACCTCAAATCATTTAACTTCAATCGTTCAAACACTTGTTCCAGTCGGCGAAGAAGCTGTTCCCTGTTAGATCCTTGGACAATTACGTCGTCAAAGAAACATTGTACGCCTTCTAAGTTATGTAATGTTTTGTCCATGAATCTTTGCCATAACAAGGGTGCCACTTTTACTCCAAACATTAATCTGTTCACTTTAAACAGCCCTTTGTGAGTACTGATTGTTTGCATGATGGCACTGTCTTCGTCCATCTCCATGTGCAAGTATGCGTTACTGATATCAAGAGTACAAAATATCTTTCCACAATGCATCTTTGACATGATATCATCAATCCGAGGTATAGGGTAATGTTCGTCTTTAATAACTTTTTTCAAAGACACCTTGTAGTCAGCACATATTCTGACTGAACCATTGGGTTTGACAACCGGCACAATGGGTGTGCCCCAATCGGATGATTCGACACGTGTGATTATACCCAAAGTCTCCAGTCTTTCAAGTTCCTTCTCTACTTTTTCTTTTAATGCATTTGGCATGTGTCTAGGTTTGATGTAAATTGGCTGGGTTTCGTCTTTTACATTAAAATGACCCTTTTCTTTTGGTATTTTCCCAATGCCTTCTTTGAAAATGTCTTCGTATCGAATCATCAAATCATCTAGTTCTTGGATGTTTTCGTTTTCACTTGAATTAATTGAATGTATGTCAGCTGCATCAAGTTGAATCTCTCTTATCCATTCTCTTCCGAATATAGAGTCTACACACTTGTTAACAATGTACAGTTTTCCAACAAAACTTTGATCTTTATACTGAACATTTACAAAAACAACTCGTCTTGGATTGATTATTTCCCCAGTGTATGTCTTGAGTTGAACATTTGTCTTGAAAATCCTTTTTGGAGAGTTTAAAAGCTTAAATGTATCATATGATACAATGCTGAGAGCCGCTCCTGTATCTAACTCCATTGTCATGAGTCGTCCTTCCACTTTTACCTCGAGCATAAACTTGTCATTTGATTTTGAATGAAGTTGGTAAATTTCATGAGTGTCATCATCGCTTGTATTTTCTGCGGTTTCATCTGATTGTTTTACTTCTTTGTTTGGTTTTCTTAGACATACTCTTGCTAAGTGACCAAAACGTTTACAAGAGTTACATTCTGCATTTTTGAACTTGCATTGATGTGCTCTATGTGAATCATCACCACATCTATAGCATTTGTTTCTCAGTTTCTCCAGACGAGTTTGATACTCAGAGAGTTGTATATTGTTAGATTTACAAGGTTTCCTATCTGGCTGTTTGTTCTTGCTTGATACTTGGTGTACTTCCTCTTGATTTTCATTTGTCTTTACTATTCTGCTTTCACTTTTCGCTAGTTCCAATGTAGCAGCCTTTTCGACTACTTCTTTAAACGGTTGCAATAGTTTATCTTGAAGAAGTTGAAGACGTATATCAGAGTCTTTTAATCCCCTGACAAACTGCATTCGAAGTAGAATTTCGGATACAGATTCATTACAACTTGTACAAGTAAACTGACATTCTACACTGAGTTTTCTAAGAGCATTAGCGTAAGCTTGTACAGATTCATTACACAATTGGGTACGTGTCGTAAATTTCTGCTGACGTGCCCAAATACTGGGTTTTGGTTCTAGTTGAGCCATTAACATGTGAATCAATTCCTCATATGGCTTGTTGTGTGGGTCATCTGGTATGCAAAGATCGTATAGCTGTTCATGTATTTGTGGGGTGATTGCCTGTAAAAATAAATCCACTTTGACTCTTGGACTTAAGTTTCCCCGTAATTTTGTGTAGTTTTCAAAGCGTCGAGTGAAGTTTTGAAAACTTTCCTCTGGTGTATACGGCTGGAAAGGAATATTATATACATTTTGACATGTTGCAGAAGCAGAAATTGCTGTATGTGTATCGTACTTTTTCTTTTCTGCTTCAAGGAATGTCCGTATCTCTCTATATATTTCTTCTAACTGCCATCGAATTTCTAATTCACTTTCTACTGAATTTGTGTGAAGTTCAATATTTGACTGTGTAACCTCAATTTCAGCCCAGTAGTAAGTGCATGTATCTTGAGAATGTTCACATGTTGGTAAATCATCCTTGAGTTTGATCAAGCGTAGTTCTAGTAATTTCCTTTTCTTTAGACATAAGTCAAATTCTTTTCTACTTACCATTTTACTCGTCGCCATTGTTGATTCCACTAATTTTAGTAATGAAAGTTCACATTTTGTATAAGAAAATAGAAGGTAAGTTTTTATTAAATCACACTCTGTAAGTAAACATAACAATTCAATAAGTAAACAAAATAATAATTTGAACACATGTTAGAAATAAAATGTAAATAAAACATATGCTAACAGATTTAGGTGGTAAAATATTATTACAAACACTCTGAGCTCTTAATTCTAGTTGTCTACTCCACTAGAACAATCTGAAATTTTCAGAATCTGGCAATAAACAATCCTTCAACTGTTGTTTAGCATATCGTTTAGTTCAATTTCTAGGTTAAAGGAAAGAATATGTGAGTTTCCATCAGAAGTATGCAGATCAACAATTAAATTGGTTGTTACCAGCTGATAAATTTGTGTTTGAATCATAACAATTTTACTTCTTTTCTCTCAATTCTTGAACCCCATTGGTCTGTACTTTACTACACTAGTGCTGTAAAGTAAGTAAACAATGTGGTAAAAATTGTTTTGATTCTAAAAATTAAATTGAAAATGCTAGTTTGAAAACGTTTGTAGGTAAAAGTATTAACAAAATGGAAAATGTGCTTAAATGTTAGATGAATCATCGGTGTGATTTGCCATACAATAGAATACAAGCACTTTAAGGGTGCTTAGTGTAGCGTCCATCTACACGTCCATCACTAGACGTTGGTCTAGTCCACTTTTGGCCTTTACCAGGAATAGGTTGATGAGGGAATCATGTTGGGTATTCCTTGGACCAGTAGGGGAGCTATAGGTTGATGAAAAGTTATTTGCAGGCAATGCTTGGAGACTTCAGTGTTGAAAACTATGGGCTCCAGCCGCAACCTCCGACTCAGGAAGTGGATCTCATCTGGGAGTGTGAGGCAAGAAAACTGTCTCTTGAGATGTCACAGGGAGACCACTTTGAGCCTTGGTTCCCCTTCCCTGAGTGAGTATTCCTGAGGAGTGTGGGAGGGTTATAATATGAAATAAAATCCTTAACCCTTTGCGATCGGAAGGCCAGTAGGAGTGGTCTCAACGCAGTAGACAGGCAGTTGGAGTTCTATCCGTACTAACTCAGTTCCGACGGTCCAACGGCCAGCTGTACTGGCCAAGTCCAAGGCTTTTGCCCCCTCGGCATTTATCATGGCGCACGCTCCCGGCAACTCGGAATTGTTTTCACTGAAAGCCTACAATGTTGGCACAGGGGATTTAAATTGTAATAAAACAATTAGCCTAGTTTGTAATTTTATACTGAAAACTGTTTATTTAATTAAAAAAACAAATAAGATGTAGATATATTTTATTCAGCATTGCCTCCAGGATTGATTTAGACAATATAAAATAGGTTACGTACCTTTACGTCGTCAATCCTAGGTTAGTCCTTTTTAGCAGCGACTAGTTTCGAAACTGACGTTTCATTTTCAAGCCTTGTCAAACATAAAATTACTTGAACATAATGTCGTCGTCAAGTACACAAATATAACATTTAACACGCACAAATACATTAAGATACAGAAAGACGCGCGGCCGGCATTACACGCACGACGGACACGACTCAACTACCGACAGCCACTGGTCTGGTGACATTGACCTTGGAGGGGGTGGACAGCTGATTATGAGCGCCTTTGTTATCAATGTCCTCAATCCTATCAAATATTGTGTTACGACCAAAATTTAGCTTTTCATTCAGGATGTCGTGGGGAAACCTTTTTGTTGCTTTGTAGATTTCATAGCTTTCAAGGACATTCATTAAGGAGCCTTTGGTGCATTTATGTAAAATACCCAGGTTATCACTACAGCTGCTTACGTTGTGGTTTTCATTCATCAGGTGTTCAGCGAACTTAGAATGTTGTGTTCGCAGTTTAGGCTTGGGTAGATGTTCATTAAACCTTTTTTTTTTTTGAATGAACGACCTGTTTGTCCGATATACATTTTTGGACAGTCGCTGCAGGTTAATTTGTACACTCCAGTGTCCTCTAGGCTATTGGAAACTGTAGATTTCGAAGTACGTGGATTTAGGCGGCTTTCTAGTTTATTTGAAGTTTTGGAGGCCAATGTAATGTTATGTTTCTTTAGTTCATTTTTTAAGGTATAATGTAAGCAGTTGCCATATTCTATAGAAATAAAGTTTTGATCGGTTTTCTGTAGTGGTTTTCTTTTCTTTTGTTTGTGTATAATATTGTCGATAATACTGCTATTGTATCCGTTATTGACTGCTATACATTTTAATATTTCATATTCGTTGTTGTAGTTATTTTGAGACATGGGTATTGTTAAAAGTCGATTAACGAAGCTGTTGTAAGCGGCCATCTTGTGTGATTGTGGATGATTGGAGGTTGCATGGATTGTATGGTCTGTGGTTGTAGGCTTTCTATAGATTTTGTAGTCAATACTATTATTATTTTTGGTCAAAGTTAGATCCAGAAAGTTAATCGAATTATTATTCTCGATCTCGAGTCTGAATTTTATTTGATGTGAAATGTTGTTCAAATGATTATTGAGAAGTTGTAGCTGTCTGGAGTTTCCGTTAAAAAGCAAAAGGGTGTCATCAACATATCGTTTATAAAATATGATTTTCTTAGAAAATTTGTTTGCTGGCGGAGAGAATGTTTTCATTTTCAAAACGATTTAGGTAAATTTCGGAGAGCACACTGGGACAAAGGTGAACCCATAGCTAGTCCTGCTTCTTGAAGATAATATTTTTCATTAAAACTGAAGTATTTTTGTTCAAGAGTTGTTTTGAGTAGATTTATTATCTCATCAATGGCGTCAGTGCTAAGTTGGGAGTTTTCTAACAAGTTTTCTTTAGTTATTTCTAACGTTTCATGTATTGGAACATTTGTATACAAGTTTACAATGTCCAGAGATGCCAAAGTATGTCTGTTTTCTACTTGAATATCTTTCAGAGAATCTATTAACTCTAGACTATTTTTAAGGCTATGGTTATTCTTCAATTTTGATGTTGTTTCTAAGATATTCTATCTAGAGCTTTTGCGAGTTTGTAGGATGGTGCAGAGGTGAAGTTTACAAGTGGTCGTATCGGCATGGTGTCTTTGTGTATTTTAGGTAATCCCCTCAATACTGGCGCTTTGGGTTTGATCATTTTGAGGTAGTTGCCATCGGTCCCCGTTGAAGATGTGTTGAGTTTTGTTTATGGCAGTTTTGAGTTTAGTGTGGAAAAGGTCAGTTGGGTCTTTAGGTAATTCTTTGATGTTATTGTTATTAATAAAATCTAAGACTTTGTTATTGTAATCGTCTAGTTTCATGATTACGATGCACTGGCCAGAAAATGTAAAGTGATATAACTTACGTATTTACTAACCTGGGAAAATGTACGTAATATTTGTCACTCATACAAACAATAAGTTGAAAGTTCTCTTTTAATCTTCTTTGATATTTTTCTCTTAGTGATATTTTTCAAAAACATTCACCCATATGAAGTCCTGGATTATTCAAACAAGTTTTACAAAACACTTTACATTGCTTTCATGGTCTGATCCATAATAAATATCAGGATCTTCAACATTTTCTTCATCAGCAATAATAAGTCTCTCAGTCATCTGATCTTAACGACTGTCAATTATTACTTAGTGTTGAGTGCAATTTAATATTTGCCACATGTCTGTTTTAATGTTATACTTCATTGATGAATACCAGATGGTTAAATTGTTAAATGTGTTGTTAAAACAATAATAGTAAAATCTATGTCTTCTTTAGTTTGGTTGAATTAAAAGTGTTGAGTTTAATAATTCAGTTTTGCCCTTTATTTAATTGAGCTAGGTATTTTAATTTAGTGTCCAGGGAAACCACATATTTACAGTTTATGGGCCCAGGGCTGTTTAAATACGGAATTTCTTAATATTTTTTTACCTGGCTAATCAAATTGAATGATTGCTAATATGGCAACTGAACATGAAAAGTATCGAATACCATCGTTTGATGGAACCAATTTCAGCAATTGGAAATTTAGAATTGAAAACCTCTGTTGGAGGAATTAGAATTACTAGTGAACCTGTGCGGCTCAATGCCCCGCAAAAACATAATGAATTTAGAAAACAACATCGTGTTATATATATTGA